TCACCCCCCGGGGGGGATGGCCACACCGCAATCCCTTCTCCTCCACTCTCCTCTTGGATTATGGCATGAGTTTAAAGCCACTGGGTCCAGGACTCGAACCGCAGTTGATGACATGGGAGTCCAGCGACATAGCCATTAAGCCATCTGCGGGTCCCTCACCTTTCTCTTTATAAATTCACCAGTCTTCAGGTGGGGGTGGGGGGGGTCCACCCAGATAATCAGATCCAACGCTAGTCACTTCCCAAAGGCTCCACCTCTTAATCCCAAAGTCAGATGAAGTTTCCACTGAATCCTGTCACAAATGTGATTTTTTAAAAGTTTATTTATCTTACTGAGAGAAAGAGAGAGAGGCATCCTCGACAGGGTCCTATCGCGCCCCCCCGCCCCCGCCCTCATGTCTTCCAGCCTACAAGAATCACATGTGTATGCTTCAGGTCAGCCTGGGGTCTGAAAACCAGTCCTGACGTGTCTCCAGCATGGCAGAGCAGCATGCTGCCCTGTGGCCCACCCATGCATTTTGGGGGCCCGTTCAAACCAGAGGAGCTAAATGGCAGGGTACTGGAGATAGGCAGGTGAGCATCCTTGGCAGTGCTGCACCGTGGCTGGCGCACAGGGGCTCAGGGGTTCAAACCCAGCTCCTGGCTCAGTAATTGCTCAGTGGGGAGGACATCGGCCCCTCCCGCACAGAGAGCTTTGCACACTTGCCGGTTAGTTCTGTGTGTAATTTGAATGGGCCACTGGGTGCCCGTTAAGCAATGTTTCAGAGTATGTCTGTGGGGTGTCCCCAGGTGAGATTAACATCTGGATCTGGGGACTCAGTAGACTCCTTCCCGTGTGGTTGGCATCAGTCTGTTGAGAGCCTGAACAGAACAAAAGGCAGAGTTTGGAGGAATTCACGGCCCCCGTGCCTTTTTGCTTGTTTTTTTTTTGTTTGTTTGTTTGTTTTGTTTTTTCTGTCTGCTTGAGCTCAGTCATCGGATCTCATCTCATCTCAATCCCATCTCACCTTGTCATCTCCGGGCCTTCAACTGAGATTTACCTCATTGGCTCCCCAGTTCTCAGGCCTTCAGACTTAGACTAAATCACACCGCAGGCTTTCCTGGGTCTCCAGCTTGAAGACCAGTAGAGGATGTGTGAGCGTGCATGCATCTGTGTGTGTGTGAGCATGCATGCGTGTATGTGTGTGTGTACTCACATGCCTAGTTGGCCTGCAAGCTCGATGTGCATGGTGGGGATTTTGGGGTGAGGCAGTGGTCAATATCCTATTGGTTCTTTTGCTCTGCAAAACCCTGGCTAATACAGCACAGCACCTACCTTGCATAGGATACAATCAACATTAAACCACTTCTAAATCAGAAGCAACCCAAAGAGAACGTTCTAAATTTCTAGAAAAGAATGAAAAGAATACTTCATAGCAAAATGCATGAGGTGAGACTACTGTACTCAAAGAAAATTGTATAGCTTTAAGTACCTTCCTTTTTAAAATAAAATAAAAGTGAGCCAAGCACCCACCTAAGGAAATCGAAAACTTTATAATTTTTTAAATGAGAAAAATTAGGAAGAGCAAACAGATAAAAGTCAAAAATAATATAATATATACCAAACAGTGTAGTTGAATGCATGAGAAAATAAAAAATGTGGTTTTTGAAAGACTAAATAGATAAATCTTGTCAGGCCATTTAAAGGGGTGAAAGAGAGCAAAAATATACACAATAGAAATGAGAAAATAAATAACCACAAATTCAGAAGGTATTAAATATCTAATATTAGGTTGTCAGGAAAGTCATGATGCATTTTTGCATTTGTGCATTACAGTGTGGGAATACACTTGAATATCTAAACAAAATGGTAATTTCCTTGAAAACTATACAATTGACTGAACACAAGTTAGACCAATCACCAGGACAGATAGTAAAAAAGATGCTCAAAATATACCATTAACAAAGCACTAAAATCAGATGTTTCATGTCTGGATCTTATCTAATCCTGCAAGAGAAGATAATTTCAGTGTTTGATTCTTCCAGGTCATATACAAATATGGAGATTTTTCCAATTCTCAAAGTCAGAAGGACTTTGATCCTGCTAAGTATGAAGGAAGTTAATTCAAGCAAACATACGGACCATCACACTTAGTCATGCTGTATTATTTCTTGCCCCATTTCTGATACTTAATTTAGAATGTGTGCATTTGTATTCCAGCTAACAAATGTAATTTTAGACTAAAGGACACTACTGGCCTGCCTTCAGAGAGGAGAGCCCCTCAGAATGGATTCTGATGCACTTTCATGTAGACATGAAAGCAGAAGGGAGACTGCAACTCAGATAGAGGTTGCCGCCCCAGTGAGTTAGGAATGTGAACCTTGGGCAAGAACCCTGCAAAAAAGATCATCTTAAAAACTTCAGCCTGGGGACCAGCAGTTAATGTAATGGCTATGTTCCTGGACTCCCATGTAGTCAACCGCGGCTCGAGTCCTGGACCCAGTGGCTTAAACTCATGCCAGGCACGTGTGCGTGCACGCCCAAGATCCCGAGAGGACAATGGAGGAGAAGGGATTGTGGCGTGGCCATCCCCCCAGGGGGGTGATTTCTCGCTTTCTATCTCTCTGTCTCTGTCTGGTGAACGCACGTGCCCTATATAGCAAAAACCTCTCTAAAAAGAAAGAAAAGAAAAAAACTTCAGCCTGACATGCATGGGACAGGGGGATTTGCATAAAACCCTTAACAGGAAGACAGTAACCTTCCTGGCATCCAGGCCCAGAGAGGTCAGAACTGCAGGTGTGAGCCTTGGGTGAGCACAAGAACCAGGCAGAGCTTGAGGAAGGGATGGAAGAAACAGCATTGGGTGGCATTCTCCTGGGTCAAAAAGTAAAAGGTGTAGGAAGTTCACATCATTTGCTTCCCTCAAGTTCAGAGATGTCTTCCTCCTCACCTGATTGTCCCTCTCTTGGCCTACGGACTCATTTCCTTCAGCAATCTCTATTGGCCCCTCTGTTTCTATTCTATCACCATTTTTCTTTTCCACCTGCATCTCTCCCTTTCCCTCTTTCTACTCCTCAGAGTTTAACTTCTGCCTCACATTTCCACGAAACTCCTCTAAAGCCCTAATTATGAATTTCACTAAGCACTGATTTTCAATGTCTTTGTGCATTGCCTGCAGTGGGGTTTCTAACAACTTGCTTTTGGCCATTTTTACTTCCTGTTGCTTACAGGCTCCGAAAGTTTTCATTCAAGACTTATCACAATCTGGAGTCCCAACTCCTTAGACTTCGGTTTCTTCATCCATTAAATCAAAGAGCTGTATTAGATCATCACTTTTTCTCCCACCTCAAAATTACCATTCTAAGCCTTCCTTGGTCTTTCTCAACTGGGACTGATCTCTCTTCTCTGAACAGGGATAAAAGGTTATTCATACCTACCACGTATTGTGCTTGTTCAGTCAACAAGTCACTTGAGTATCACTCTGTCAAGAGCTGTGTAGGGGTAAGAAGAGGGGAAGAGGTCAGGGTGACAGACACGGCCCCAGCCCCCAGGAGCAGCATCACTGGTGCAGAGATGGGGGTGTGCATCTTTTCCAGACAATTTCTTTAAGAGCGCTGGCCAGTCTTATACCCCCAAGAGCTTCACACTACGTAGGTGCAAGGCAAAGTCTGCCAAAAGGCCTTGCGCACCTACATGTTACATGCCCACTTGACTTTTCTGGAAGTCCAACAGGGAAGGGGATGTGGTAGGGTGCTTTCCTCACAAGCTGCCTATTTTAACACTGGCGGGAAAAGATCTGGGATTCTAAATAAAAGGGAAAATAAACTATAAAAAGAACATTCCTTTTTTTTTTAAGCACTAAAATGAGATTTTAAATGGAGGTACTTTTCACTTCAGATAGAAGATTCCAGTTTATTTATTTTTCTTCTTTTGCTTAAGTAAAGCCAGATGCTCAGCTAGGTATGAATCATGTGGAAGGCTTTTAAAGGTGGTGAGAACACATGACCATTTCGGTTCAAATCACTAAAATACTCAGAAGAATGCTCACAGTGAAGCATCAGGAATGCAAACATGACATAAAAAAAAAAAGTTAAATGGCCTATGAGAACACATTTTAAAAATGGCAAATGTTAGTCAAGCGGCCAGGTTCTACGACAGACTGTTGGGTCTGTAGCTTCTCATCAGACGTCTTCCTCTCAGAAAAAGTTTTCAAACAGCAAAAACAAAACAATTCCTGGAAATATAGTTCTGAATACTATTCAAAAAGTAGAGCCTCTGAACTGGGACGACTTGCTATTCATGCGTCTTGCCATTCATTTTGGAAGCTTGTTTTGTGCATTTGGCCTACGAGGACACTCCGTTTGGGGATAAAAAGATGGCACATTAGAACCAAGGAGAGTCCACCTCCCATTACTGCACAGCCTGGAAGGGAATCCTAAGGAGCTGGTTCCATCAGCAGAGGAACCATGTGTGGCGTTCCGCAGACCTGGGTCCCTAGGAAATTACAAATGGAAACTCGTAGATTTACTGGGGACACCATCACTTTCGGGGTGGAAAGACACAGGAAGACGCAACTAGTTGCTGCAATACACAAAAGTTTATTTTTTTACTTTTTTCTTCTTTTCTGAAGGCAAAATAAAATAGAACTGAACATTGATGAATTTTGTACAACAAAAACAGCTTTTAATATGGAACAGACAGTCCATGAACATTTTAAAATCTCGGAATGGCTTCCCTTTTTCAAAGTCATGCTTTCTTGCGGTCCACGAGGAGTTGGCACGGAAGAGCTGGTGACAGCCAGCCAGATGAGGCGAAGATGGGTGGTGCTCTCAGATCCGCGTCAGCTGGTGCCACAGGCTGGACGGGAGGATGCTTTCCACTTTCTCCATGACAAAGTTTAAGGGGGCAAACAAAGTGCTGAGGAACTACAAAGAAGCCAGAAAGACACAGACGTCAGGGGAGGTCTGGTTCAAGGCTGTGAAATGAACCTCTGCAATCCATGCTTGCGTCTTAAGTCTCCGCATTACGGAAGTCTTGCAAGGCTACAATTTCATCTTTATGTTTACAGGTTGGAGGGTCTAACCCGCATTCCAGCCCCCACCCCTGGCACTCTGAGATAAGGGGAGAAGTGTCTGCTGACAGCCCCTCAGTCCCCTGACAGCTGATCTGCAGTCCCAAGCTCTTCTTGCTAGTCCTTGAGATCTGCTGGCTGCCCACATCATCAACATGAATGACAGATGGGCAGCAAGAAGACAGAAGAGTTGAGAAATGGTGACAATGTAGACCACTTGTTTATCTATCTAGGTGGAGAACTCATTTTAGATAGAACATGCAATTTTCAAAAGTCAACGTTGTTGTATATGCTTGTTTTGGGGATCCTGCTGTCTCCCAAACACCTGAGCCACCCATACTCATGTCTGAACTACCTGCTGGGCATGTGCACTGGGGAGCCTGGGGAGGGCCACACATTGGCTATTCCCTGGAGGGAATGTCCCTGTTGAAGGGGGCTCTGAGAAGATTTTGGGGAACACTTTTATTAAGTTACTAAATTCCTCTCTGTTTTCCACGTACAGAATAATGCTCATTAACTGTGCATTTATATTTGTTATTTTTTAATATTTTTGAGAGGTTTTTGCTATAGGGCACGTATGACCACCAGAAAGATACAAAGAGACAGAAAGTGAGAAATCACCCTCCAAGGGGGATGGCCATGCCACAATCTCTTCGCTCTCTTTCTTCTTTCGGGATCTTGGGCATGCATGCACATGCACCTGGCGTGAGTTTAAGCCACTGGGTCTGGGACTCGAACTGTGGTCGACTACATGGGAGTCCAGCAACATAGCCATCATGGTAACTGTTGGTCCCAACTGTGCATTTTTAGCAAAGTGCCTCGTCTCAGTCTCACAATACACAATCTCACATCCATTCTGCCTAAGTCCCTGTGAAAGTCAGCCTCATTCCATAAACCACCCAGCATATGGGGAGAAGCCTATTCCAGTCAGGAAGAGAAAGGTGTTTGGATGGTGTCCTTGCCCTCTGTCTGTTCAGAAGCAAAGGGTTGTGTTGCTAGAGCTCAACATCTGATTCTTGCACTGTGGCTTTTTTTTTTTTTTCCTAATCCCTGGTTCTTAGTACAGCTTTGTCTATACCACCAAGGATTTCTCATGGAAGTACAGCTCAGGGTATGGGTACATGTGCAGAGGGAACACAGTTCTGAGGTCAACAAGTGTCAGGGACAGTGCATTTAGTGAAGTAAAATCAGGACCCCCACTGTATGTCAGATGTTGGATCGACTGTCTTCAAGAAGAGGTTTGGTGGGCACGCTTCCCAAGTTCACTGATCTCAGAAGATTTCCCTTCCTTGTTTTTGTTTTTGTTTTTGTTTGTTTTATAACTAGAACATACACTGCAAAGGCCTAAATCACATTCTGGCTGAATCATCAAGTTTGAGATTTGTATAAGAAAATTCAAGATCGTCTAAGAAGTGGACTCTTAAACTGTCTTGCACAATAATTCAATATATTTACTTAGTAAAGCATTTAAGTGCTGGGTAATATATAAAGGAGTTTTGGACAAAACTCCTACTGAGAGCAAGCTCAAAGCCCAGGAGGTGGGCAGGGGCTACCAAGGCCTGGACAGAACAAAGTAATAACCAGAAAAGCCACAATAGCCATCCAGGTAGAAGCTCAAATAAAGCACCAGGAGTATTCAGAAAAGGGAAAGAACCCATTTTATTGAAAGGACTGGGAAAAAAGTTTTAATGTGAGGCAACTGAAATAGCCTTCAATGGATGTAGAATATCCTAAGATAGAGCTGGAGTAAAGATGGTAAGGACAGAAATACATGCGGGGAAGGCCTTCCTGGCTCAGTAAACAGGATTAACAGAAATAGGAAAGCAGCAGGTCTGAGCAGGAGATGGGGCCTGGCCTGAGGGGGACTGTAGTGCTAGAAGCCCCAGGGCTGACCAAGGCCTAAAAACAAGCTAGGCCAAGATCCCGAGGAGGTCGAGGACTGGGAAAGGAGACTGCAGCATGACAAGACCCTGCTGAAGTTGCTTTCTCTTTTTGATAAGTGCGTGCATGCACATATTCTCCATCATTTAAAAACAAAAAACAAACAAAAAAAAAAACTGGGGATGGCCTTGAGTGTCAGCTTGGATTTCCAGTTAAGAAATAGACAACTACGCTAGACCTTGCATAAAGGTAGAAAGGGACTCTCCTCAAGAGGGTATAAGATTGATGGCAGTTTTAACAACTTTCTAAAGTTATCCTTAGTTGAGTGCACAGAAACACATGAGCTGCTCACGTACAGGGAGGACCACCTACTCTTTCTCATGTAGAGCTGGACTAGATGCCAATTGTGAATGCAGAGGGAAGGCATCGGGGTCCAGGAATGAACTGCTACTACCCAAGATCCATCCAAAAGTGTCTGTAAGATCCCGGTTATGTTAAGGATAATATGGTGCAAGTCTACTGATTATACTAATCTAACATGGCAACATTATAAAATTTAACACACATACACATAATATACATGTATAATTATATATGTCTCTGTGTGTACATATATGTGTATATCACACACATATAGACTTTAAAAAGTTTGTGGAGTTTGTAAGTACGAGTTTATTTTGGTACAAAAAGATTTTGAAATCCATGCACAGTTTTCATAATATAAATTTCCATAAACGTTTTCAATCAGAGACTTTCAAGGCTCCATAACCCACAGTATCTGCCTATAATACTCAACTCCATAAAGAGGAGCTAAGTGATAACGCAATCTGGATAAACTAGAGATCTGACAGGTGTTGGAAGATGGGGTTCGATAAACAAGGTGATATTGCTGGGTAAGCTGTCATATCCTAAACGCCTGACCCAAAACAGACTTCAAACCACTGAAGGTGTGACTGAGTAGGGAAGGAACTGCTGAATATTAGCGTGGCTTGGTATAATTGGATACAAGGCATCACTCCAGTCTGTATTCTGGGTGATTCCATATGCTAAAATGTGGGGATGCAGGGGAGCCCTGACTTGAGTTGCAGAATGAATACAGATGATGGTACAAAGTTGGCTCAAAATAAAGACCTCTTCTGCCTGCTTTGCTTGGTTACGGACCTGCCCGGGAGTAAGAGCATGGAAGTGAGGCCTGTGACGATCAAGAGGAGAGCTTCACCTGTTGGAAGCCCACGCTGCCCACACTGCACAGCAAGAGGTGGCGGTCCCTTCTTTCCTAGATTACACCCACCCTTCTCAACAAGGTTCCACAAGAAAATTAGACCCCAGTGTCTCCCTTGTTATGTCAGGATTTGCTTCACTCCCTGACATCTAGGATGTCCCATCCTTGGGAGAATTGGGAAAAATCCCCTGAACTTTTTCCTAGAGCCTAATTTTACTCTCTCATGGAACCACAGTTGATGGCTGCTCTTTCTTTCTAAGTCTCTTTCCTCCTTGGCATTCCTCCCCACATCCTTCTCCTGGCCCTCCAGTCACAAGGAAGAAGCAGACAATGGACTGAAGCACCTGAAGCCACTCAGCCCTTTCATTCACTAAGCAGATAAAGGCCAGAGGCTTTCATCTCAGAGGTATTAAAAAAATAGTTTAGAACATCGTACTTTGCTTGGGATGCTCAATTATATTTCTTCACATATTTGAAAATTAGTTGATGCTTTTTGACCAAAGATCCAACCAATGTACAAGAAAAAAAAAAAAAAAAACAGTAGTTTCCCTTAAAGGGGAAATTTATTACCTAAAAAGTTAAATCTGAATGGGCAACACCAGGAACCCTGGAACAGCCTGCCTATTTTAATGTCCAAAACTTCTGCCCAGAGGGCACAGATACACAGTCAAACTTTTAACCAAGATACTCCATCATTCAATCAGTGTCTTGTGGTGAGAAAAAGCAACTAAACTAATAAAAAAGAGAGAGTGACACTTCAATCGCCTGATCCTCCTTTTCCTGAAACACCATTACTTAGAAGAAGGTCACTGCTCCCAACACGCTTCTTTAACATTCAAGACGCCCCTACTTATCTCAATAAGTTCCAGGTGCCCCGCTGCAATCAGACAATTGACATTTCACTGTAATCAATATCAGACTTCAAAGAGCCTGTAAGTGAAGGCGGGAGTCAGAAGTCAGGAGGCTCAGTCTCAGGGAAGCAGAGAGACCAAAGGAGGAAAGACAGGGCCCTTGAGGGTAGAGGGGTCAGAGTGCTGACCCTCCCCCATACGGTGAGGGCTGAGTTTGGACCGATAACTTATATATATGAGCAACCTTATCTGGGTAACCAAACATTCTAGAGTTAGTCCTAAGTCATTGAGATAGATTAGATTAGCAGGGAAAAGCCAGGGGAAGCCTTCTAGTATCATTTGCTAGTGGTTCACACTCCACTGGGGCAAGTCGGCCTGGAGAGCCCCAAGCTGAGCTGTTGCGGCCTGGGGATGGCAGTGCAATCTCTCGGCATCTACTGCAAGTCATTATCCCAGGGACATTATCTCAGCAGAGGGCTGAGAAAATCATTTCACAAGCTGCAAATGGATGCAGGCAGCCCATAGGGCAGCAGTGATAACCTGCAGGGTGCAGAGTGGGGGCTTCGGGAGGGGCCCGGGGAGGACAGGCGATGGGGCTTGTCTTATTCAGGCCATCCATCTCCCTTCCTCACCAAGCCTCTCCAGACGTTTTGGAAACTGCTAGACCTTAATGAAGGGAAAGATGAAAGTGATGAGGCTGAGAAGCAAAGTTACCTAAACCACACTTGAAAATTACAGGTAGCTTAGCTTTGCGCAGTGGCAGTATCGTAGCCAATGAGGTTTATCCGAGGCGCGATTATTGCTAATTGAAAATTACAGGTAGCTTGACCACCGCACCTTGGCAGAGTATAAAATTAAAAGAATGCTAAAGACAGATTTATATTGTATTTAATAATTTGCTCCCAGATTCAAAACTGAACCTTTGGAAACCTGAAATGAGGAGAGTGGCCTCTTCTTATCTAACATCCATAATGAACAGGCTTCTGTACAATTCTAGAGTTTTTCCTAGAGAACACTCAGTCATAGTCTTCATCATTCTGTGCCTCTCAAGCCTCTCTCAGGCAATTGGGCATCTCACTCAGCACAGGGTGTTTCAGCCCTGCGTGTGCCCCTGAGTCATCTGGGAAGCACTTGCCAACTCGGGTGCCCATGCTACACCCTGGGGCGATGACATCAGTCCCTGGGGAAGGGGAGCAGGAGTCAGTAATGTTTAAGGTTCCTCGATGCTTTCAAGGTACAGCCAGGTTGGACCTACTGATTCTGGCAAGCATGCACCTGAGCAGCTCTGCCTGCACACTGCACAGCACAGATGACTGTTCAGAGTGCAGCCTTCCTGAGACCCGTGTCCTCGGAAGGAAATTCTGGTCCCCAAACCCCACCCTCAGAATCTTTGTTTAAAAATACAGGTTCTAGGCCAGCTGGTGGTGTGGTAGTTGGGGCAGCTGAATTCCAAGTGGCCAACTGCACAATTTGAGACCCAGATCTGGTGCTTTGAAAAACACACCGTGTATGTGTGTGTATGTGTGTGTGTGTATGCGTGAGCGTGCACCCAAAATCCAGAATGGAGGAGAAGGGACTTCACTCTGGCTATCCCCTGGGGGGGTGCTTTCTCACTTTCCCTCTCACTCTCTCTCCATCAAGTTCATGTATACTATAGCAAATTAAACAACAACAACAAAAACCAACAACAATCAGATTCCTCGGTGTTAACATTCGAGGCTCTGAATTTCTGCTAGTGGGCCAGGTGAATACTATGAACACTAAAGGCTGAGAGTCTCTGTGCTGATCCAAAACTCCCACCAAGTGCTATTAGTTACTGTAAGGAAGAATACTGAACCAATGACACACTTTACAAATATGCTTTCAAACACGTTAAGGGAGAAACAGGAAGAATCGGACTGTCTCTATAGTACGGAGGTAGCTGTTGTACTCAAACAAAGCTGGATCCCACATGTCAGCCATTGTTTGACTACCTGACTGGGTCAACCTGAGACATGCTGGACTAATGCAAGAGTGCCATAGATCCTGGGCTGGTGGACAGGAGGAGGGAGACTGCAGTGTGACCAAACCTTAAAGAGGGTGCTCTTCTCTCTCTCTCTGTCTCACATGGATGTGGTCTATCATGAATAGAGAAAAAGAAAGGAGGAACGGTAATTGTCTAATGTTGTAAATACAGTCTTATTTTGAATTCTACCAAGTTTGAGGCCAGCAGGTGGCATGGTGGTTAAGGTGCTGGACTCCCACATGGCCAACTGCAGTTTGAATCTCGGACCTAGCAACTTGTTTTCTCACTAGCGACTTGTTTCCTCATTTTCTCTCTTTCTCTCTATCTCTGTGTGTATATCTCTCTCTGGTGAGTGTCTGTGCCCTTTGGTGAATTAAAAATAAATAAATAAAATTGGGACCAGCAGTTGGCATAATGGCTATGTTGCTGGACTCCCATGTAGTTGGCCGCGGTTCGAGTAATGGACCCGGTGGCTTAAACTCACGCTGGGCGCATGTGCATGCATGCCCAAGATCCCGAGAGGAAACTGGAGGAGAAGGAATTGCTGTGTGATCATCCCCCCGGGGGGGGTGATTTCTTGCTTTCTATCTCTCTCTCTGTCTTTCTGGCGAGTGCACATGCCCTATGGCAAAAACCTCTCCAAAAAAAAAATTAATTAATTAAATAAAATTCTTTAAGAAAAAAATTCTGCCAAGTTATACTCTACTCAGAGTTTTGGTAGCTACTTTTACTCAGAGGTTGGCTAGGAAGAAGAAAGCATTAGTGTAAGTCTTTAAAGAACAACCAACATGGCGACTTAGGTGATGCTGAGTTTAGAAATATTCACACTCAGAAGACTTAGGAAGTTAAAGGTATTCTGCCTAGGGGAAATAGAAAGTAGTCAGTTGGTGGCTAGAGGCGGCTTTTCTAAGAATTGCAAGAGGAAGTAGACCTGTTTAATGTATGCTCTTAGTGTAGAATAGGAATAAATAAAAATTAAAGGGAGGCATTAGTAACATAAGGAAGAGCTCTGATGATCCAACAATGGCATAGGCTTCAGTGTTGAACAGGTACGCTCCCCATTGCTAAAAGTACTCAGGATGCATCTGATGACCTCCACTCGGGGTTGCTATTGAATGTAATTTAAGACCCTAAGATCCTATGATTATGAGTATGAAAGAAGACAAGAAATGCTAAGCTGTATCTGGTTTCTACATTAATTCTTTCTGTAGAGATCACGATCATTTATTTATTTAATGACCATTTATTAAAAACCTACTATGTGCAAGGCATTATGCAAAGCCTTGGGGATACAGAGACAAGGAAGACAGTCCTGCTCTCAAGGAGTTCACATTCTGCAGGGGACAATTTTTCAATAATCATAATGCAGTATAATAAACGTGATGGTGCAGGCATTCATGGAGGACTGTGAGATCATAGAGAAGAGCCCCCTAGCTCAACCTGGGAGAAATGTAAACAAAGCTGAAAAATACGGCAGAGGTGTTAGAGTGGACAAGTAAAGGCCGTCATGGTGAGGAACATTCCATACAACCAAGACACGTGCAAAGGCACTGAGGTGTGTAAGAGCCTGGTGCATCAAGGAATGGCAAATAATTCACTATGATCAAAGCGAAGTATCTGGGCAAGGCTGGGAGAGATGAGGTGAGGAGGCAAGCAGAGGCCAGATCATAAAGGCCCTAAACGCCATGTTCTAGGACTGGGACTGTATCCTACCGTGGGTGGGAAACCATGGGAGCAACGGAAGCAGAGAAGTGACATGCTCAGGTCTGCAATTGAGAAGATGATTCTTTTATTAGTTGGAAAGAAAGACTAGAAGCAAGGAGACTGGTAAGACTGTTGTAGGAGTCCAGGCAAGAAATAACAAGGACTTAGACTAAGAGAGACTAAGAGATGGGAGAGGACGAGGGAAAGAAGAGGTGAACAATATTCACCAAATGCCTCACTGCTTAGGAGGTGAGAATCCATAGGCTATAAAGGCTGAGACAGATGGGATACTGGGAGCGAGAGAGAAAGGAGCTCAGGAGGGTTGCTGGGTTTCCAGCTTGAGTAACTGGGTGGATGGCAGGGCCACTGGTGGAAGTCAGAAATAGAGGGAGAAGAGGGCGATGGATTCAGTTTTGGAAATGCTGAGATTAAGGTGCTGGTGGGATTTCCAGTTCATCTCTGACACACATGAAAATACTCTTGAAAATCCAGTCCCTGAACTCTGCCAAGCAGAAACTGTCAGTCATCTGGAAAGGGATTCAATCAACCTCGCCAAGTTAGAAATCATGCTCTCTGATTCCCCCTTGACATCTATGTTAATGAAATTTCAGGGGGTACAACTGGTACTCCTTTTCTTATTCCTTCAGTTTTAAACTCATCTGTGGCAAATGAGTATACTTATTCTCACTGCATGTGCAGGTGGAAGTGGGAGGTTTTAGCAAGGGAACAGCAGTTCATGGCTGTCAATGTAGATGGTTTTTCTTACTAAAGCACCTCTCCACAACCCTCCTTAAAGACTCTTAATGGATTTCCGTATTCCTAAGTGTCATGTCAGTACATGTATTAATTCTACAATTTTTTTTTTACCCTCCTAGTTCATTACCCATTACCCAGCCAAGGGTTTGTAGCTATTTAAAAAAACAAAGGTTTTAAGTCATCTTTGAAAATGCAAATCTCATTCTACATGAAGGATAGACCCACAATATCCAAAGATGAAAAATAATGTGATTATACACACACACACACACACACACACACATATTATAATTTCCACACATTTTTCATTTGCTAGGATCCCCCAAATTATTTCAGCTTGTGGATCTCCTGCAATTTTTGGAAACTGTTGAGAATTTGTTTTGTGAAGTGTGGCAAGGCATGTGTTAACAATCTATGCTTTTTCATTTGACCTTAAACCCTTTGATTCTACTAATGATAATGAAAATGAAACAGTGAGCACATGATCTCTATGGGCTCCCATCATTTCTGCACGACAGTCCCTGCTTCACTTATGCTAGCACCCTTGACTTTCTCTGTCCGTTCCCCTTGGCAAACACTCACCGCTTTTGCGAAGACCCCCATAAGTTCCGGGAACTGATGTGTCAGGAGGGCCAGCATGGCTGTGAAGGAACACAATCCAGCAGTGAAGAGAATAAAGAAGGGGAGCTCCTTCTTTGGGTAAACTGAGACTTCATGGAAAGCTGTGAAGAAGACCAAAAGGGAAACGTTAGGGCTGGAATGAAATGCATTTGCAGGGACTATCTGGATAATGGGACTGACTTTTGTATTTGGGAAGGGTCTAAAGGCTGGTGGACCCCTCGACAGGCCATAGTCAGGATCTGACTCAGTCTTTGGCTGCCTGTCTGCTTCTCTGACCTTTAGCACTAGCTAGAGGCATGGTGGGCTAACTCAGGGTCCCACATTTATGGGTGGGGATGGTAGCACCATCTATGCCTAATCTATAGTGTAGTGTTCCATTCTCTAAAGCAAACACAAATGAAACAACAAGGCTTTATTCAAATTATGAAACAAATGTTCATTGTACAAAATCCAGAAAATCAAGTATGCTGAGAAAAAAAAAAAAATCCCCTGTCTACAGTTTCACCTTCCTGTATTTTAAGAATCATTACAATGAAGTGACATTAGCTTATCTTGTATTTTCTCCTGGCGCACTCTAAGCGTGTCAGTTGAGGGTGCTGCCTGACAGATGTTCCACTAGGACCTCACACGCTGGCCTATTCAACCTGCCAGTGAGTGAGCGAGAGGGTCAAGGTTGCTAGGGTTATCTGGCATAACTGTAGGAGACTCAAGAGGGTAAATAGGCATCCAGCAATCACCAATAACAAACAAATAAAAATAACAGCAACTGGTGTTCTTTACAGTGCATTTCAGGCGTTTTAAACTTAAACATTGGGTTTAGGACAAAACAAAAAGGGGTAAGATGACAAGCCAAGTGAACGGACTCCTTTCTGTTCCTTCTGTGGCTGCCAGTGACTGGATTGCCGCGTCTGTGGTCCTGAGAGGTCGGGCAGACTCACACAGAGGGGAGAGAGTCAACTGGCCAGTATCCGGGGCAGAGGGCTGTGCGACAGTGTGAGCAATCTTGACACCCTGACCACAAGGGCCCACGTGGTCCTTTTCCTGCGGGGTTACGAGATCTGAAGGCCTCTCCCAAACCTTCAGCTCATGTTACTCAGAGCCCTAAACAGTAATCCACACTGCTGAAAACAGAATGGAGACCACTGGGGTGGGCTGAGGCCCAGATAAGCACACCCACCTGAACCCTGGTAAGTCAACCTGCTAGGATTCAAACACGAGGTGGAAGTGTGCTCAGGGCCTAATGTGGTGATAACTGTACTTCCAGTGGGTAAAACAGAGGTAGCATTTTTAAAAACTGACCTTCTTCATATCTTTCACATCAACGCCCAACCCAGAAAGGATTTTTGGAAGAACAGACTTGGACCACTTCATTCAATTAAAGAAATGTGAGCCAGGATTCTCTCTTTCAGGCTTATGAAGGCTATTCCTATAAAATTCTTTTTTTAAGAACTATAATCTTTTTTTTTTTTTTTTGGAGAGATTTTTGCCATAGGGCGCGTGCGCTCGCCAGACAGACAGAGAGAGACATAGAGACAGAAAGCGAGAAATCACCCCCCAGGGGGGATGGTCACGCCGCAATCCCCTCTCCTCCATTCTCCTCTCGGGATCTTGGGCACGCACGCACATGTGCCTGGAGTGAGTTTTAAGCCACCGGGTCCGGGATGCGAACCGCGGTCAACCACGTGGGAGTTCAGTGACACAGCCATTACACTAACTGCTGGTTCCCAAGAACTATAATCTTATTCTAGTAGCTAACCTATCCCCATGGAAACTTAATTGGACTCAATTAAGACATTGAAAAACATTGTACTTTTCAGAAAACTGCCTTTCTTACCAGATAACTGGAACTTTAGGAAGGATCTCCCCAAAAGGGGAGTCAAAACGTAAACTGTGGGTCCGGAGAGGGGATACCTAGACTCAAACCCAGTGTCCTGTGAGGCACCAGCCCCTTTTACAATGCAACTGAGACAAGGAGGGAAACATCATCAAGCTCTCCCACTGCCCAAATGCCAAATCTCGTACTGAGTCTGGCTAGCAAGAAATACATGAGGCTCCCACCACCTGAGTCTGACGACAGCCATTCACTCTTGCTCCTGGATCCCACCATGTTGGAGGTTTATGATGGGCCCAGTAATGCCAGGGCTTGGAAATTTATTATGCACCCAGGGTTCTAATGTCCCACTATTCCTCTGGGGCAAGTATTTAATTGTGTTCTAGCTACGAGAGGTTGATATAAGTGGGGCTGGTGAGAGGGAGGTTGTGGCAGCAGAGAGAACAGGGAGGAGAGAATAGACAAATTTTGGATCTTATTATCTGGAGGAGAAAAAAATCTGTCCTAAGTCCAGGACACATGAAGAGCCTGGACATGATCCTTGTACACAGTATGACTTGATAATAACCATTTAATCGGAATTGTCAAAATAATGCTGGGTCACAGTAAACCAAAATAATCCTCTCCACATTCAGCACGGGCCATCAGTCTTTTAGCTTGTAAGGCACTCGAGGGCAAGACTCCTCCTGTGTGCTTTCATACAGTGCTGAGGCTGCACGTGTGCTCAGCACATGCTCTGCCAGCTCCCCCCTGCAATCATGAGCTGCTCACGGGAAAGCCCTCGGGCCAAGGGCATTGCATCACCACAGAGCACGACTGCCCTCCTGCTCTGCCTTTGGCAGCCATGCCAGAGCATCCTGGTGCTGCTCCCTGCTCCATGACTCATCTGTGCTCCCTCTGCCATCAGCACTGGCTGTACAAACACCAATCTGTGCAGACTATACCTCAAAAGTGGCAGGCCCCCCATGGAAGCCTCCGTAACAGACCAGTCCTAAACTAGGGGTCTCAGTGATCAGGCCCATCAGTACACGATGCCCCTTCATCTAAAGTTCCATCTTTTTGGCATCTTTCCTTTTGACAATCTGGAGAGATCTGGAGAGACAATAAGCCAACCCCCCTCACATGGTTCACTTTAACACATACACTTCCAACGAGGACAAGGGTTGGAAGAAAAGTAGTAGACAGGGAACAGTATAAAAACGTGTGTCATCCCCACCTCTTCCCCATCTTTAGTCCTGTCACCCTCACTGGTTGAAGACAGCACTATGGGTGAAACTTACATGGAAGCAGCTCTCGGTCTGCTGTTTCTGTACAAATTGGGTAAGGGTAAAATAGGTGCCCTTTTTCCAAGGGATAAGGAATCATCCGAAAAGCTGAAAAGGAGAGAGAAGATGTAAGAGGTTCAGTATTTGTTTCATAGCTTTCCAACTTCAAAAAGGAACTTTGAGCATTTTTATAATAAGGAACACTCCTACATAGGAGATGAGACTTGCCTAAACTCTGAGTCATGTGCCAGACAGAATGTCAGAGATACATTACGACGTATTACAGGTTAATCTCACACTATATATTCTGGACAATTCTCACAAAACTGGGTGGGGATAAAGGTGCAGAGGGTAGAAAAGCCATTAATATCAGTGCCCAGGGTTTCATCATCTACAAAATATTATAAAAATGTTATAAGCACTAATTCAACATGGTTCACCCAATGGTAATAATGCAAACCTGGACTGAAATGCTTCCTCAAGAAGCAAATGTGGAATGACCTGGTGGAGCTCGTTACAGATGTACAAATATGAAAGGCATTCTACCATGTCTACTTTAAAAAAATATGTCTAAGTGGATTAGAATTCCAACCAAGACGGATAAAAACAAAAATCTGAAAATACATGACTTAGGAGGTATTTCTAAACTTTATGAAACTTTTAAATCTTCAACGTGATGTGGGAAAAAGTGGATGTGGAGAGATTGATTATCTGCATTTTGATGCTGTCAGGCCATCTAAATTCTACTTTTGTAGCATCAGCTGACACCACTCCTCACACTGAATTATGGCCTTCCAATTGATCCATTCATTCTTCCCCATTATCGTGTGCGTTACTCTTCCTGTTACAGTGTCATCAGCATGTCATTCTCACTGTTCCACGATCAGTGCTCACGGCGGCCATTTTTCTTCAGCAGATGTGCTTTAACGACAGTACACCGCAGATAGAGAATACAAGGCCATACCTTGCACTGAGAATGCAGATAACAATCCTCACCTTCGCGTGTGTCAACAAGGGATGGTGGCAACGTGCCGCAATATTTTTAAATACTACCTCTCAAGGAATCGTAGCTACGACCTCAGCTGTGTCGTGACCAAAGCCTTCTCAGAATGCTGTCAATGTACATATTTATCTTTTGCATACTTATTTCAAACAGGAATCAGAAACAAAGAATGTTCTCCCTCACAAGAAATGACAAGGTTCCATTGTAACCAGCATCAGTGCACATATGGTATTTATTCTGGTGTCTGAATATTATTTAAAAGTAAAAACATTATGTATGTGACTCCAGCATTTGGAATGCAGTCAATCTGCACCACAGTGGTATCACTCTGAGGTTACAGTACATTGCCATGGAGAATATAAATCACTCTAAATGTGGGATAGAGCAGAGCCGGTTTGCTGGCAGTTTGCTGAGGTAAAAATGTTATCAATTTTCCCCTCGTAACAGAAACCTCTTAAACAGAGATTAAAACATTAAAAATGCCCCAGACCTTAACTCTTCTTAAGAAGAAAGACTCACCCTAGTTCAATCAGACCTTTTCCTTTTATGCTCACTGCAAGAAAGAGAAGAGTTCCTTGCACAGGTTGGTAGACCACTGGAAGGAACCAACATCTCTCTCAATAGAACCAAGCTTTGAAGAGAATAGGAAAATAAAAAAGCCTCTTTTAGGGCTTTTATACTAAATATACTAAAATTCCTTCTGGGGAGCATTGAATTTAAATTGAAACTACAATATGGCAGGATTTTAATATAAAATATGGCTGTTATGAAAGCCTCCAAAACACATGGAAAAGCCTATATGGAAACTAATTTTAGTTGGGTTATTGTTGTTTTTTGTTATTGTTGTTTTTTGAATTCAGATTCTCCACGTGCAGCAGGGCTAATGTAATTAAGAATCTGTTCAGGTTTATATGATATAAATAAACCCTTGGTTTTCAAAGGGGCTATAAATGTGAGTGCTAAATTTTATTCAAAATTGAAGTCAGTGTACACTTCGGGGAGCCATTTTTTAAATGAAATACAGGAGTGCGAGATCTTGAGAGTGTTCAACCATAGAACTCCAACGGCTGGTCGGTGTCTTTTCAGCCCAATACTCAATTTTTTTTTTTTAACTCCAGGATCTGGCAAGCAGACAGATTTTTGTGCCTCAAGTTAGTCTTTTTCTTCTTCTAATCAGCTCTAGTCTTTTTTTTTCTTTCTTTCTTTTTGAAAGGGTGGAGACATTGATTACATTCAATCTGAAGAACACACACACACGCACACACACGCGCACACACATATACTCTTTCTGCACCCCCTCCCTCCCCCATGACTGTAAAGATGCTTATGGTGCTCTTAAAATCTTCCGCATGTCAGTTGTCATTTACATTGAGTTCATAAAATGATATTAAGGCTTTTGGCTTCACTAAACAAAAGCAAATACAATCTCGAATGCAATTCTATCCCTTACCCACCCTGCTATGCGAAGTCTGAGATAAGCAGGGGAGGTCTGGAGAGGGCCGGCAGAGGCACTGCAGGAGCTCTGCCAGCTCCTCCTCCCACCCGTGGTCCTTCCACTCTAAGACAGGCAGCCAACTGCTCCACAACAGCCTCATCACTGTGGCCAAACGTCCAGAAATTTTGCAAGTGCAAGTATTAAGAACACACTGATTGGGACCAGCAGATGGTGTAATGGACTCCCATGTAGCTGACCAGGGTTCTAGTTCCAGACTTGGTGGCTTAAAACTCATGCCGGGTGCATATGTATGCGTGCCCAAAGTCCTGAGAGGAGAACGGAGGAGAAGGGACTGCAGTATGACCATCCGCCTTGGGGTTGATTTCTTGCTTTCTATCTCTCTGTCTTTCTGGTGAGTGCACGTGCCCTAGAACAAAAATCTCTCTAAAATCAAAACAAACTAAAATAAAACACCGATTTGATATTGTAGGTAAGAATGGAAAAAGGCTATTTGAACAGATGTTTTTTATGACTGACTACAGACCCTCTAAAACTCTCTGAGAAAGCACATACTTCAGAGGAGTTAAAAAAATACATGTATTTAGTAAAAATAAGACAAAACGCTAGGCTATGCACAGTTAATATGTGGTAGACAGATGTCATTGCTGCATTTCACTGTGTGTGCCATGCCCTCCCCATCTTGAGTTTGGCTGTGCCTTTGTTGACAGGCATAAATGAAACCGGGTCCTAGTTAACCAACACATCTCACCTGACAGCCAAGTCTGGACATGAGCCTGTCTTCTCCTACTTCTCAACAGACATATGCCCTAGGTGCCAAGCCTGTTAGGCTGTCCCCAGAGACTCACCACAGCTATCAGTGCCAGAATCAACAGAACCAAAAAATGGATAGAAGGATGGAGACATAAACAAGTTAATTCTCAATTTTCTCAACTACTTCCAGCGACCTCTCACCCGACTCATTCTATAAACTAAAATAGATTTTTTTTTTCTAGAGATCACATGTGCTCATCAGAGAAAGAGAGAGAGAGGAAGAGGAGAAAGCACACCTCGTAGGGAATGGTCATGCTGCAATCTCTTCTTCTCCATCTCTCCCTCCTTTTGGGAGTTTGGGCACACAGATATAGGCCAGCATGTTTTTTCTTCTTTTTTTTTTTTCTTTTTTTTGAGATTTTTTTTGCTACAGGGCCCGTGCGCTCACCAGACAGACAGAGGAAGACAGAAAGACAGAAAGTGAGAAATCCCCCCCCGCAATCCCTTCTCCTCCATTCTCCTGTCGGGATCTTGGGCACGCACGCACCTGCACCCAGCGTGAGTTTAAGCCACCAGGTCCAGGACTCCAACCGTGTTCAACTACATGGGAGTCCAGCGACATAGCCATTACGCTAACTGCTGGTCCCATGGCCCAGCATGTTTCTCAAGTCACTGGGTTTGGGACTCAAACAGCACGGTCAACCTTGTGGGATCTAGCTGCCTTGACCACCAGGTCATGGAATTGAAGGCAATTTTATGTTTACATTTTGTCTATTCTTGTTGCCTTTTCAGAGGATTGAAGAGATATTTGAGATTCATAAGAGAACTGAGTTTGAACCTAGTTCTTGCACAGTCACTGGTCACTGTGAGTACCTTCTTATAGAATAAGGAGTCTGAAGTGAGCCAAGAATGCACCATGTCAGCCTCAGATGCTCACTATTGAACGAGGGAAACCCTCCGCAACCAGGAAACAAGTGCAATGGATCCCACTGAGCCATGCCCCCCAGGAGCAGTGTGCGTGTGCAGTGTGCAGTGTCACAAACGTGGGTGGGAGGAGTGTGTAGCAGAAGTTCTGGCTAGACTACAGGATGAGTGGGCCTGTCCAGACCAATAAGCGTAAGATTTCAGGTGGTCACATCCTTTGTCCCGGTCCCTTCATCTGTAAAATGAGAGTACCAGGGACCTGACAAGGCCAGTAAAAGGACTAGGGGCAACAGCAGAGGGCAAGGTGTCTGAACACTGTGTCTGGCTGCTCAATGCAGGTCAGGTTTCTCCTTATCTTCCTTCCTTTGGCTACGTCTAAAGTTCCTGCTTTCTCTATCAAGTCACACTCTGGCTTGTAAGCAAAAATGCTGTTTGTCTATACACAATTAGAAACACAAGTAATAGAACAGAAAATTGTCATCAAAATGCAAATTCTACATTTTCATTTTTGACTGCAATGTAGGTATTAATAACTGGCCATGGAGGCCATTTGTCTCTTATGAGGCACTTGGGCACAAAAATGAAAAAGATTCAAAAGTCAAGCTCCTGAGTTGTGATCTGTGGCTCTTTTACTACAAGTTTGATGGCCTTGGGAAAAATCATGTTCCCTCGACTGAGTTAAAAGATGTTCTATTCCAATTCGGGAGAGGAATTCCTAGGAGTTTAGAGCAGACTCACTAACTTGTTATTAACTTGTCAATATGTTTTAACACTCTGTTCCTACCTTCATGATAATACTACCCATACCCTCCCTCCCTTCCTTCCTTCTTCCCTCCTTCCCATCTTTCATTCTTTCCACTTCTTCTCCCCCCTCTATATTTATCTCTCTACATGTAGCTTGCATGAGTTACACACACGGATGTTTCTCCCAAAGCATGGCAGGCCTTATCTATCTTGGTATCCCCAACACAATGC